CCACTCTGCCCTCCCTTTAAGAGATGGGCTTGGGGTTAGATCCCCGGGTTCATTTTCCAGCTGGCTGGCCTTGGGCAAACTATATATCCACTTCTGCACCTCTTCTCTGTGATGTGGACACCGCCTTGCAGGGTGGTGGGCAGGCTCTGGGGGATGAAGTCTGAGGTACTGGCACAGCCCTGGGGCAGTGTGACTGACTACCACCCGAACAGGATGCTGCTCGGTTCAATACCACTGGACAGAGCTGGGGGAGGCTAGTCACAGTGTGAGCCCTGCGCTCCCTCCTCACACACGGCACAGAGAACAGAGGTGACCTGAGGCCCCTGAGCCAGACACCACGTCTTGAAGCCAGGCTCCCAGCCAGAGTGCAGTCAAGGAATCAAGACAATTGCATTTTGCTCCAGGAACCCGCTGGGGCCTTCTCATCCTCTCTGGCTGGCAGGGCTGAGGTGGCCTTGGGCTCTCCGTGCCAGCCCTGCCCCTCCCTCTCTGCCCCACCACACAGCTTTGACAGGAGCTGTGCAGGGTGTCCCTGGAGCTCAAACCCCTTCCTGCTGCATTGGTCCCCTCAGGGCTGTGTCTTTTGTCTCCCAACCAAGGCAAATTTCGGGAGCAGTTTAAGGCCGCCTTCTCCTGCTGCCTGCCTGGTCTGGGTCCCCGCTCCTCTGCCAGACACAAGTCCTTGCAGAGCCGGTGTTCTGTCTCCAGAGTCTCTGAGCACGTCGTGCTGACCAGCGTCACCACAGTGCTGTCCTAAGTGGGGCCTGGCCCAGGCTCTGGGAGCCACAGCCTGATCCTTCGCTCGCGCGGGATCCGCCCCGGCACTCGGCACTCGTGAAGACTGCTGCTGTTCAATGAGGGGCTGACTCCAGTCCTGGCTTGCCGCCTGGGTGACCCAGCCAGCGTCATTCCCCCTCTGAGGCTGTGTCCCCTAGAAGGGTTGATAGGAAGCTTAAGCACCCTAAGAAAGCAGAGAACGTTGTAAACCATCTCGTGCTGGTGACACTGTTTCTGTCGTCCCCGCCTGCTGTGGCTGTACTCTGCAGCGCCACCCCACCCTTTCAGAGCTTGGCTTTCCTCCCAAAGACCTGTCTCCCACTCAATTATAGGCCTTCCCTGGCTGGACTCTGCTCCAAAGGTCCCCATAGGCATAGTCGCCTGGCCTGGAGGCCACCCGAAGCCCTGGCTGCACACGGCCAGCTGCTCTGATGTCCCCGTGAACTAATTTGGGTCCAGCCCTTCTCAGTGGACTCTGAAGCACGCCCCCCCTCCTCTCCAGGTGTGGACTGCACGCACCACAGGCTCGCGATCTCGTTGGCATTGCGGAGTACTTAAACACTCTCCATGTGGCCGTTCAGCATGGAGGCCAGCAGCCCGAAGCAACTGTAATTAAAAGCCTGGCACAGAATGTTCCCTTTCCTTGTCATTACACAAAATTTGTGCTGCTCAGGTTAGTAGAGGGAGGTGGGGCAGCCGGGGGATGGCAAGAGGAGAAGGCTCTGGAATGCTCTTATCTGCGCAACCCCGCCCCCACCCCAGATGAACTGACTGCTAGCCACACGGCCTAGGCAGTGCCCAGCCTCTGGTGCCCAGGATGCGGATCTCTGACACACTTTCTGTTCCCTGCCTGAGGACCTCTGGCCTGGAAGGAGGCAGGTGGGCAGCCGGTGGGGTTGAGAGATTTACTGTTCCTAACCTTCTTGGAAATCAGGGCTTCGCTGGTTTTCTATGAACACACAGAATACAAAGAGAAAGCCACAGATTTGGCTAGCCATGCTCTGGCTGCAGCCGAGCTGATTACAGGGCTGCCGAAAAGGCGCCCACACCTGTCGCCGGAGCAGACGGAAAGCACATGCTGGAGTTCCACGCTACTACAAGGAGCAGGGGACATCTGGCTGAGGCCACTGAGGGTGAGCACACCAGCAGATGTTTCCAGATCCACAGGCTTCCTTGACTTCTCTGGTCAGGAAGTGGGGCCCGGCCAGGGAGAGCCTAGACATCATGGCTCCTTGGTAGGCATGCCATTTTGTCCAGGGGCTAAAGAGCTCATCTGCTCTACAGACTCATCAGTGCAGCGGCCATAGCTGGCCAGCAGAGTGGGCAGTCCTAAGCACTCTGTGCCCCCATTGCCCCGAAATCCAAATCAAGGGTGAAGGCAGGTCTGGAGGTGCAGTGTGCTTGGGATGAGGCATGAGGGCTGGATCCTCTGGGTCTTAAGCTCTCAGCCTCTCCCCCCCAACCCCCAGTATAAGGAAGATTGTGGTTGGCACCATTGTAAAGATGCGTTTAGGGGCTAGACGTGTGGCTGGGTGGTAGGGTACTTGTCTAACATTGTGAGGCCCTGGGTTCCATCCCCAGCATCACCTAAAAAAACAAAGATGCCTTCCAATGGACACATGGCTCAGCAGGAGCAGAGAAGACAGCAGCTTCCTGTAGGGGCACACTGCTACCTTACTCTGCGGGCACACCGCTACCTTACTCTGCTGGCGGAAGCCAGCCAGCATGGGGGTGGGGTGGGTGTCTCAGACTTCTGCCTGGGAAGCTCTGATGCACTCAAGCACACTCTGAGGAAGTTGCCAAGATGCCAAGGGGAGCAATGCTCAATGAGGGGCATCTGACAAGCCCAGGGCTACCTGGTCTATGAGGGAAGTTGGGCTGGGGGTGGGCTGGGGGAGATGCCGTGGTAGGCTCAACTGTCTCCAGAAGAATGGCATGCAGGAAGGAGGGGGCTGTGCTCTGGTGGGCCCAAGAGAGAAAACGAGGGCCAGTGGATGGTGTTTCCAAAGGGGTAGGTTAGAACACTGCTACCAGTCGAAAGATAAAACAAGCAACCTGGAAAGTCTCCGTTCCCCTTTTTAGTTCCTGGAGGTTGGCAAATAGAGGCTGGAGTCTTGGGGTCCCCTAAGGACTCCAGAGGTGGATGGTGCTAGCCTTTAGGATCTGGACTCTTGATTCTAGGCCTGCAGAGCCACGGCAGCCCACAGGAGCTGAATTGGCTGAGCATGACAGGCCCGCTGGCCTCTGTGACCTGGAAAATGGCACAGCCACCCTCCACCCCCACCCTGCAGGGAGGACAGCCCTGCAGAAGGCCTCTGAGTCTCAGAGCTCTTATCTCCATCTTCCAAAGCCAGAGGATAATCACACCATTATCTGTGATAAGGCCCCCTAGCAAACCAGAATGTCTGGTGTCTTCAGCTTTTGATTGAAATTCTGTCAGCTCATTACAAGCACAGTGCAGACTGGGTATCACGCTGATCTAGAGATGCAACCGGCAGGTACTGGTGTCTGTGCTTAATAAAAGTGTGTGTAGGGGGAGTTATGACTTCATAAATGGAGTTTGTCTGAGAGATAAAACTCAGGCCTAAGATAATAAAAAGAGCACGCTGTGAGAAGTCTGGGGTGGCAGCTTCCAGCCCAGAATGGCAACCCTAAAACTTTAAGAAACAGTCAGCCTTTAGGCAGATCCCAAAGAGGAACCTGGCCAGGCCCCAAGGTCCCCCTGGCAAACCAGATGATCAGCAGGTCTACCAAGGCCTCTAGGCCAGTTGCTTCTGCCTGGCTTGGTAAGCAGTGGATGCTTCCACACTCAAATG